CCGGCCCACCGGCGATGGTGACACATGCGGCGGCGGCGAGCCGGCGGCAGGACCATGGTTGAGCGCGCCAGCAAGTTCGTGCTGGTGGTGGCGGGCTCCGCGTGCTTCATGCTCATCCTGTACCAATACGCGGGCCCGGGGCTCAGCCTGGGCGCGCCCGGCGGACGCGCGCCACCCAACGACCTGGATCTCTTCCCCACGCCCGACCCACACTACGAGAAGAAATACTACTTCCCGGTGCGTGAGCTCGAGCGCTCGCTGCACTTCGATATGAAGGGCGACGACGTGATTGTCTTCCTGCACATCCAGAAGACGGGCGGCACCACCTTTGGCCGCCACCTCGTGCAGAACGTGCGCCTCGAGGTGCCCTGCGACTGCCGGCCAGGCCAGAAGAAGTGCACCTGCTACCGGCCCAACCGCCGAGAGACCTGGCTCTTCTCCCGCTTTTCCACCGGCTGGAGCTGCGGGCTGCATGCCGACTGGACCGAGCTCACCAACTGCGTGCCTGGCGTACTGGACCGCCGCGACCCCGCTGCGCTGCGAACGCCCAGGTGAGCGGCCTGCGCCGTGCTGGGTGCCGTCGGGGCTGGGTAGGCCTCGACAGCGCTCTGACCCGCCGTCTCGGCCATGCCACTGCCTGGGCCCAGTCTTCGCCCCCACTCTCCTCTCCTTCTTTCTTGGGGCCCCCCACTCTCAGCCCCCTTGACCTCCTCCCAACCTGCCAGGCGCCCTCGGTCCGCAGCTTGTCTAGCTGGGGCGCAGCCCAGCTGTCACCCCTGCCCTCTGACCTCATTGTCACCTTCTTTTCCTAAGCGCTTCTGTTGCTTGTCCCACTATCCGTCCAGGCAAGGCAGTGCCCAGGGTTGCTTCCCTCGGGCATCCTTCCTCGCCCTGGCCGGGTGTGAAATCTGCCCTGTCCCAGCTGAGGGCCCAGGCTGACCGGATGCAGCCCGTGGGCCATTGGCTGTCAGCGGCTGCAGCGGGTTCTTGTGTGTGGATTCCCTTTCACACTAATCAGAGCAGTGAGCACATGTGGGGCCCCAGCGCCCCCCGCCCCCGCACCCCACAGCTTGCCAGCCTGCCTCCAGGGGGCTGGGAAGTGTCGGCTGTCCTTGGTGTGAACAAGTAGAACAAAGGCCCCAGCGATACAGGAACGAGAGCAGAAAGGAGGCAGTGCTTGCTGCCTGTTCTCTCAAGTTGGGCTGGAAGCTTCTGCAGGCCTGCAGGCAGGGTCCTCCCATGTGCGAGGGAACAAAAGCCGATCAGTGTCGGGTTGCCTCTCCAGAATCCAGTCAGCCAGGTTGAGGGGCACTGCAGGGGCACTTATGCAGCCAGAGACCTTTCATAGGGACTCTCGTGACCCCCTCTGTGGGAACTGAGAGGCACAGGGCTGACGTGTGCAGGCCCCACTGTGGGAACGGGTGCTGGGGGCAGCTCTTGTGGGGACTGGAGCCAGGGCTGTGCTGGGCTTTGGGTGGTTAAAGTTAGTACTTTCCCCCGTTCATGGTAGTCCACCTAGTATCTGGACTGGGAAGGGCCCAGAGTGGGGCCTCCTTTGCTTGTCTTTTGTATATTTTCCAGTGTGTGCCTTAGGGTTGCGTGTACAGACAGGCTGGGGGTGGGCTGGGGAAGTGCGGGGAATCGGGCTGTCTCCATGTGATACGTGTGTATCGGTGCTCTTTTGGGTCAGGGAGGTGCTGGTCTCTGGTGTGTGGTGGGCGCAAAGGCCTGGCATCTGGCTGGCCAGGAGCTGAGCATAGTCCCTGGCCTGCAAGCTCACCGTTCAGCCCTTCTGGTCCTTTTTTCCTGTGGTCTTTCTTCAGACTGTCCGGAAATCGGGGTCCTGGAGCCGAGGGTCGGGGGAAGGTCTTCCCACAGGCCCACTTCTCCTGGGCGGCCCGCTTGCGGGGCTGTTGTCAGGTGCAGAGTCCAAGGGGCCCAGGACACCAGCTAAATGGTGATATTCCGGTCCCTTGAGTGCACATCCCAAACTTGGGGCTTCTGGTCCGCCTGTCTGGGGCTTATGAGGCACAGCTTTCTGCGAGCGTTGTCTGCTCTGTACAGGTGCCTGTTCTTGGCTCGGGAGACCCCTGCAGTCCAGCCACTCGGCAGTAGACCCCACTGGCCTGTAACAGGTCGGTGCCATTCTGTCCCCCAGGGCTCTAGCCCCCGAACTGGCCACTGACTGACCCCAGCAGGCCAGGTGGGCCCCTTCCCTGCCCACAGGGGGCCCCATCCAGTGTGCCAGGTGCAGTGTGTACCAGGAGCACCCCAGAAGGGAGAGCGGGTGCAGAACCTGCTCTGCAGGTGGGCAGGAGGCCCAGGACCTGTGGGCAGGCTCGGCTGGCAGCAGAGGCAGCCTTGGCCTGCTTTGTGAGGAAGCATCTTTCTGCAGCCCCAGTTCCTGCAGCTGATTTGCTGTGTTGGTCACCAAGGTGAGGGCGCGCAGCCTTCCTTCTCCAGAGTTTGTCCGTGAAGAACAGGTGCTCAGCATGTCACAGCCAGGAGTTGGAGGACCAGGTGGGGCAGACGGGCTTCAGGTGCTGCATGAGGAGGGGGACACCCACTGCTGGAGTGGGCTGCTAGCCCCTTGGCCTGGACGCTGCCGAGAGCAGCAGCAGGTGAGGCCATGGAGGAATGCTTCCTCTGTCGTCTGCTCTGGGGAGTGGGCTGTGCACCCCGTGCACGCACACGGCCCCTGAGCGTTCCACTTCTTGCCGCGCTCCTCTCCTCCCTTCCCCCTCCTTTCATTTCTCTTACAGGCCCCAGATAGATTGGTTTTTTAATGAGCTTCCTTCAGAGGCCAGGGTAATCTTGGCTGTGTGTGCTTATGAGCCAGTCTGCCCAAGGTGTGCCTGCTGAGCTGCTCCTCTCAAGTGGGGGCTGGCCAGTGCCACACAGGGGAACAGGATTCTCCTATCCACCCAGGACGGTGGGGCACCCAAGCCTCTGGTTTCCGGACTCTGCTGTGTCACCTCTCCCCTGTAGGGGCTGCACTCACACCCCTTAAAGCAGGCCCAAGCCCTGCCCTCCCCGCTAGGCTGGTGGGCTGAGGAGAGGGTGAGCCTTGGACAGAGACCCATACTTCCTCCTCTCTGTCCCCAGTGCCTCTGAAGCTTCCTCTCCATGCCTCTCCAGCACTGTGTCAGCCATATTTGGGACCTGGAGAGGTGGGCCTGGTGATGTGAGACAAGAGGGTTTCCACAGCTCCTGCGGGGCCCCCCTTTACATCAGCCCAGGTGGTTCTGAGCTGGGGCACACGTTGAGGTGACATGGGGATGGACAGGTGTTCAGTGCCTTCCTGGAGTGTGGCCGGGACTTACAGATGCCATCAGTGCTCTCGGACCCACTGGAAGGAGCAGACAAGCGAGCAGGCTCCTCTGTTGCCATGTGTCAACTGAGGTGGCTACGTGCCTGTCGGGATCATCAGAGAGGAAGGGTCACTGGCTGGCCTTGGAGGGCTCGTGTTACCATGGGCCAGCCTTCAGGTGAGGGTGTCCCAGAGGCCCAAATGGTGACCCTGGAGCTCACCTCCCACCCCTTGTCCACCGCACGGTGGCACCTGTGCAAAAGAGAAGGCACCGTCAGGGCTGGCCTGGGCCACCCTGGAAATCCTCTGAAATTGTGTAGGTGTCTTTTGGAGCTGCCAAGGGCATTTGGTGCCAAGTGTGGCTGCCAGGCTCCCTGGACTGGGATCCTCCTGCAGCAGGGTCTGTCCCTGGGCCATTGCCCCGCAGAGACTGTGGAGGCCCCCTTGCCAGGAGAGGCGTGGCAGGATGTGCTTCAGAGCCTCTCTGGTCATAGTCTCCTACTCTGAAGTCCCCTCTAGTTCCGGAAACCTACTGGTGCTCCTGCTGAGCCTCTCTTCATGGCTGCTTTGCCTAGCATGCCCTTTTCTCCTGCCCATTTATCTGCTGGCTCCACCTTCTCTTCCAGGAAGCCCCCCCTGGCAGCACCCCTGTGCCCATAGCACCCTTAACCACTCTCCCTCAGCTCCCATGCTCCTGTCAGCCACCCTGATTCTTCCACGCTGCATTGACCTGGGCTGTGCTCATGTTCCAGCACTAACATTATGTGTTCCTCCCGGCCCTGTGGCCTTTCCCCACACACGCTGGCAGGGGCCCTGGGGTGTCAGGCCGTAAGGGATCCAGCCCAAGTGAAGTGCCCGTCCCTGGGAGCCGCAGGGGCAGCCTAGGTGTGTAGGGCAGGGTTAAGCCTGGAACGTTTCTGTGGTCAGTTTCTGTGGCACTGGAAGATTGACTACTTGGCCTTCACGTTCACTTTCTTATTTGAAATCAAGGAACAAGACTTGTGTTTGTCTGAGGTGGTGACAGATGTCCCCCAGAACACGTGACTGAATGGCCAGAGAACCTGTGGGGATGTCACCCTGGGCCAGGAGAGGCCTTATGCCGGACATGGCCTTGAGTGGAAATGAGAAGGGGATCTGAGATAAAGCATTCAGGATTTGATTTTCATTAAAAGCAAAAACGCCCCTTTTTACGCAAATACACGAGGAGGCAAACTTTTCAACGGTTTACTGACATATTCATTTTTAAGACGTGTTTTGGCCTGTGTTGTCTCTGCTCTGTAACTTGTGTCCTTAAAACCTCGTAGAATTGGTGAGGCCAGGGCTTCCTGTCCCTCAGGCACTTCACTCGTAACACCTGGGACCAGCTGGCGTAGGGGCAGCCTCAGGGCCATGGTGTGGTTGGCAGGGACCAGGCTGGGCAGCTGTGCCCTGGGTCAGTGCATTCAGCCCCGTCTCTGGGGCTGGGGCCAGTGAAGGCACCCCTCCCCACCTCCCACCTGTCATAGCAGTGGGAGGTTGGAGAGTGGCCAGCAGCTGCTGTAGTGCTGGGTCCAGAGTCTTCCGGTGTCAGGAGGAGAGGTATGGCTTTGCTGTCGTTAAGGGGCCATGAGTCTCTTTCTTTCCCATCCTCCCGCCCCTGTTTCTTGGTTATAAGTTGAAAGTATAAAGGGGAAAAGAAAAATTATATTCCCCATATATGGTACTTTCTTTGTAATTGAAAGTATCATATACATTATGCCACAGATGTCATTCTATGTCATTAAAAACTTACTGTTTTTAATTCCCCCCCTGGACATGCCATCGTCCGCTTCTCTTGTGTTGTTGGATGGCAGGTGTCTGGAGTTTGCTCCTAGACGCAGCGCTGCAGGGCCATCCCTGCGTGTAAGTATTTTGTATAGTTCTGGCCTTGTTTGAGGTTCCTGGGTGGCATACATGGTTGTGTTTAGTACTGATTGAAAGATTGGCAGTCGAATCCATCCAGCAGCGCCACAGAAGAAAGGCCTGGAGATCTACTTTTGTAAGATAACCATTGAAAACCCCATGGAGTGCAGTTCAGCTCCAAAACACTCGGGGTCGCCAGGAGTTGGAATCAGCTCGATGGCAACGGGTTTGGTTTTTGGTTTGGTCTCCTTTGGAAACTCCTAGCAGTGAGATTTCTGACTTAGTGGTCTGAATGTTTATGTTAAGTTACTTCTCAGAAATCCTGCACCTGTTAAACGCTCCTACCTGTGATGTGGGAAT